ATCTTCCATGCAGGATCATGGAAAGAACACTTCTTAAAGGACTATATGTGCAGTATTTATCTGTAGAGGCCGCTCCCATGTCCCTACCGCCTGTGGTCCTTGGAATCATATGTCACATATTACCTACTCACTCATACTAGAATTCCTAGATAGATTCACCCAGGCATCCTTAAAAACTCAGTGGCCCCAACATTAATTATATCTACTTCACCTTGTCACTGACACAAGAAGCCAGTGAGAATCACTCAGAAGTCACAGCACTAATCAGGGACTTGAGAGCAAAAGGAGCCCATGCAAGTTGGGCTGCAAATACCTAACCTTGTGCCGAGGCATGGTATAACTTACAACACTGCATTTCCTAAGCGCCTTTCTTTTTGGTTTCCCATAAAGTCCATCAGGTCAAGTTGGTTCATGCTGCTTTGAAACATCATGAGAAAGCACGCAGTGTGCCTCATGAGAAAGCACGCAGTGTGCCTCATGAGAAAGCACACAGTATGCCTTACCATGTTGCTTTCCTTAAAAATAGTAATAGAATATGGATAGGAAAACACACATGTAGGAAAATATGAGTCTTTAAAAAACCAGCTGTAAGGATTTTAAATAATGGGCTCATGAGGACTCTGACCCAGTCAATGTATTGACCCTTTGGTGGGGTCATAATGTGGTGGCACTATGGGAAGTGACAGAAACTAGCGAGTGGGGCCTTGTTAAAGGCAAGGGGTATGCTTTGAAGCTTGGATCTTATTCCTGCCCCTTCCAGTCTCTCTGCAACAGTCTTCTTCCCCACTGGTGCTCTGCCTCACTACTGGTCCAAAGGGTGAGGACACTGATGCTCTCATATATCAGCACCTGTGAGCCACAACTAATGTTCCTCCTTTGAGTTACTCCCTCAAGTATGTTGTCACAGCGACGAAAACCGACTAGCAGGGCATCCTTCAGAGACAGATTTGCCATGGGCCATGCAAGAATCTGGTTAGGTGAAGGATAAAAGTGATCCAGGCTTTCTGTGAAACAGACATTTCTTGGACAGTATTTCACCCAGAACTACTCAAGATGAACATACTCTTATGTGAAGAAGTTTTTGTTGGCCAGGCATGGTGGTACACACTTTAACCCCAGCACTTGGAGGCAGAGGCTGTCAAATCTCTGAGATGGCGGCCAGCCTGATCAACAGAGTGAGTTCTAGGACAGCCAGAACTACCCAGAGAGACCTTGTCTACCAAAAAACCAACAGAAAAAGATTTTGTTGAGCCGGGAATGTAGCTTAGTGGTAGAGGACTTGCCTGGGGTGTATGTGGCCTTGGGTTCAATATCTAGCACTTCAAAAAGTATTTAAGGATGCAGTTAACTGGGGTAAGATAATTTAAGTGAATTCAGTTAAGACACAGATGTATCTTTGTTGTTGTTGTTTTAGGTCACTAAATATGAACTGTGTAAACACCTTTGTGAACCATGAAAAGGGACCTACCATCCACATGCGTGCTAGGGGAGACACAATATGAGAAAAAAGGTTTAAGATCCTCTCTTCAGTGTGCAGATTTCATGGCCATTTTTGGACTCTCTTGATGTATAAAAACATCAAATTTACAGTTCTAAGATACAAAGGGAGGCAAGGTATGTTGGCCCATTTCCCATGGTAAAACAACATCACCAACAAATACACACAAATTCCTGATTTCTGGTCATAGACTTTACCTGGCCTTCCTTAATGTCTTCTTTCTTCAAATCTTCAGTTTTTTGCCTGGTTTTGCACCCAAGGTTGGTACAGAATGCTGGAGGGTCAAGATTCTATACTGGCCGTTTGTAAGTCCGTTATAACTGCCATACCGGCTGCGCCCACAGAAGAGAGACTGGAGCTTGGCAGGTGGCTCTCACCTGTGATCTTCGTTCTTCTGAGACTGATGCAGAAGAATCTCCCATGCATTTGATTTCCCTAACTAATTTGTTCTTGGTGACAGGAAAGGCCTGCCTTCAAACAAAATGGAGTTCAGAGCCACAAGTTCATCCTCCAATATTGCTAGGAGTTCTGCACTGGGAGATCTGAGCCAGCTAACTGAGGTGTGTTCTGCGGCTGGAGATAAGTATCAGGTATATAATTTGCCGGCAATAATTATGCATGAATTCAACACCTTGGTGCCTTTTCCTGTGTTTGAACCTGTAAAGCCACATCTTTCGTCCTGAGTGTTGAGGGCTCACTTTTTTGTCTTTTTCAGTCCTGACAGATTCACAGCGAAGAGGCCAATACCGTGCCCAGTTTGTCTGTAGAAGGCATCACACAAACATTCTCCTCACAGAGTGCAAGCCAGGCTTGGGCGGTGCTGTGGTGCAGGGAGCTCACAACTCACACTAGTGGGGTTCCCTCTGCTGCGTCTCAGCCCTGGTCCCTGGCAGCCTTTCACAACAAGAACTTGTCCCTCAAGTGTCCCTGCAGACTTAGTATGGTAGATACTTACAAAATTAGCAAGGGCACCCCATTCCACAGCCTTCTGCTCCTAGTTCTGATTGTTTCATAGAGAATATTTGGTCCCAAGAACATAATGATGAGCCTGTCGTAGTCATCTTCGTTTTCACAACTTGTTAGTCCATCCCTGTAATCTTGGGGACAGTGACACACCCTTTATCTCAGTAACACCTGCACATCCAAGAATATGTATTGAGTTTGGAACCACAGGTCATTCATTGTGGGCACGGGGGATGGAGCCAGGAGTCGGAAAAATCTCCCTTTCAAGAAATTAAATTTTAGGAGAATCCTAAAGTAGAGAATTACAACAGAACCAACATGGGCTGGTGAGATGGCTCAGAGGATAGAGGCACTTTGCCACCGGGCTTCATGACCTGAGTTCTCTCCCCAGAACCCACACAGTAGGAAAGAAGCTGTCCCACAAATAGTCCTCTGACAATCACCGTCCCTTGCAGTATGTCCCCTACGCACAGGCGCGCGCGCGCGCGCACACACACACACACACACACACACACGATAATAATAATGAATAAGTTTAAAAACAAGCAGGACCCGTGAATGTCAAGCTAGACAGCAATTCCCCCATGATATGTTAAATTGCTATTATTTCGACTGAGGAGCCATTGGCAGGAAACTGCTGCTTCATAATTTTTAAAACATACTGGTTCGGTCGGCAGTTCCATTCCCTCACTCACTAGGTTCCCTTTTCTTCCTGGTTCATTCTTTTATCAAGAGGCCTGCAGCAGAGCTCGTTCTCATTGGTTGAAGATTCCAGCCCCACCCACCCGTTCTCCAGACCGGGTCTCAAATCCTTGGAGTGTAATTGAAGGAGGGGCGAGAGTGGGCGTGTCATCGGAGGTGACGTTTCCGGAAGCTCCGACTGTTATCCTTCACGAAAGGTGGGAAGGGTCCCGGGAATGCTGTGGGACGGGGGGGATCCTGGCGCGGTGGGACCCCGCGGGGAAGAAGCCATGAGTGTGGTGCCCGTGTCCCTGGCCCTGGGCCGCCGCGCGCGAGCTCCGGAATGGCCCTGTCCCCAGAGTTGGCTCCTGACCAGCCAGGCCCGGTCTCAACACGCCTTACATTTTCCCGAAACCTGACTGAGTGCCTTGTGGAAGGGCTCTGCCAGCTGTAACAGCTGGATCCCTCTCCGGGGCGCACCCTTCTGCCCCTGCTCCTTCCTTTTGCCTCCTCCGGAGCTCCTCCTGGTCCTTCCCCCTTATTTTCGGACACTGTCTTTCCCTTGCATGATTGCTGAACCGCATGTTGGCCCAAGCCGCCCTATGATTTCCAGAGGTACCGAGGTGCCCAGCATCCCATTCCCGTGAGCTCTGCTGGGCTGTGCCCAGTTCCAGCAGTTAGGGTCTTGGACGGGTTTTATGCTCAGGAGCGGACGTGTTACACAGGCTGTGCCTCCACATTCCTAACAGCCCCCAACTTTTGCTGGGAGGGAAGGAGGTTTAGCGGGGAAACTTCATGGAAGAAATGTCACCCAAGGGTTGAAGAAAGCTAAAGTAGAATTGGCTTAGAGAAAAGTCTCTGAGAACAGGTGATTGGAACTCAGAAAAACAACGGCTGGATAAATGGGACTGTGATCAGCGGTTCCCTGGCAGATGGGAATTCTGACCGAGGAATAAGGAACAAAGATGGGGACACAAGACTGTTGGGTCACAAGAAGAGTGTATTCTAGAATAGGCTGGCTGGGCTGGGCTGTGATCCAATGCACAGAACAACCCCGATTCCTCTCTGGATTTTGTGTAATGATGATGTCATGGAGCCCAGAGCCCGAGTCCAACAGAAGCAACATCTAGAGAACGTGTAGACTCACTGGAGTCTGGATTCCAGTGAGTGGGAACTCCTAGAGTGTCCCACCCCATCTGAGGTAACTGTCCCTTTGCTGTTGAAGTCCTACTTGCCTTGTGGAGACAAGTGTACACTGTTTCAGAGTGCTAACTGCCTTTCCCTGAAAATGGTAAATGTGACTGATTGACTCAAATAGTGGTTTAGCGAGCGGAGTTGTTTGTGAGCATTTGCCCCCAGAAAACACACACATTGACCTTGTAGTCAAAGCTGAGGAATTGTATCATGGGAAATATCTGGTATTCTCCAGCAAAATGAAATGGAATAATAAATTACCAGAGCAGTCTTCAGGAAGGTTCTCTGAACACACTCTGCCAGGTATTGGGTAAATGGAAGTAGGCATCTGGATAGAGAAACAACAGAGCAAGTGGCAGATGCTTCCTTACCTCTACAGGGCTCTAGGCAGGCCTTCTGCTGATGAACAGTGATTAAGGGGCTCTAGACACACAGTGGCTGTGTTCCTTGTAGCATCAAATTGTGGGACAAGGGTGTTGATTTTTTTTTTAACCTGTCAGTCCTCAAATCAGGACTTGGGTGTTCTTGTGGATAGGAAGGTTAATGTATTGATCAGAAACACTGCATGTAGTGCTTTATTTTCTCTAATTTTTGTTTCTCTGTTGTGTGCTTTGTTTGGTTTTGAGACAGGGTCTTTCTATGGAGCCTTGATTGTCCTGGAACTCTCTGTGTAGGCTAGATTAGCCTTGAACTCAGAGATCTGTTCCTCAGCTGCTGAGATTAAAGGTGTGTTCAACCACGCCCAGCTTTCTTTAATATTTTGGGAGATTTGTGGTACACTCACCTTGTGCTAGATCACTGGGAAGATATGACCCTGACTTTGATGTTATCCGTTTTCTCTCTTTTGTCTCAGAAAAGACATTATTGGTCCAATGTCTAACCATGGGGATGTGAGCCTCCCACCCCAAGACCGGGTGAGGATTCTATCCCAACTTGGGAGTGCAGTGGAATTAAATGAAGACATTCCACCCCGACGCTACTACCGCTCCGGCGTTGAGATCATCCGCATGGCATCCATTTACTCTGAGGAAGGCAACATTGAACATGCCTTTATCCTCTACAACAAGTACATCACGTAAGATGCGCACAGTTCTCCTCTTCGTTTCTGTGGCTGACACCCCTTGTATTCTACCCCTGTGCTCACCTATGGCCCCCACAGTTGCTAACAGCAGGGAATTTGATAATGTCAATCATTAACCAGGTTGCAGGCAGCTTTCACAAGTGAGTTGTCCTTGCCATTCAAGGACACAGGGCCAAAAGCGGTATTATTTGACTCAGGAATGTCCTGGGTAGGAGACTTAGTCCTCAGTCCCACCTGCCCCAGCTGTCCACAGGTAAGCAGGATGTATCTGCATTGGTGAGTATTTTGACTGCACTCTCTCTGCTCAGGCAGCCAGTCCCAGGACCATTGCTGGTGTGTGGCAGAGCCCAGATTGCTGTACTCACCCTGTAGCTTCTTATGTGGTATAGGAAAGAGGTTTCTTTCTTTTCTGTCAGTGTAGTCTCCTAGTTACCGAAGACTATGGACCACTTGCCGCCTGACTTACAACAGTAAGACATTTCCTGAGCTGTTTGTTCCTCATAGTTGGATAGGCAGCATAAATACAAGGTTTCAAGGCTGTCACCAGGGAATGACTCCTAAAGCCCCAGTGGCAAGGGCACCGTGTGGTTGAGGAAGGGGATGATGGGAAAAGTCTGACTTGTCATTTCTAGCCTGAACTTGAGTACAATAGGACCTAAAGAGTTTGCTGTGACTCAGAGGACCTCGGGCTCAGGAAGGGTTTCTGTGGCATCGCTCATGGGTCTTCACAGGGTGGGGGTGCTAAGTAGACACATCACCCTCCAGGTCTGTTCTACGGCAGAGTGCACTCGGGGTTAAGAATGAGCTTGGGTTCCCGTTTGCAGTGGCTCCTCCTATTTCAGGGTTCATTCTAGAACACAGGTTCTTTTGTTTTCCGTCTAGGCTTACAGAAGGCAGTAAGTCTCCCTCTCCACTCTTCTCTACATGAGACACCTACTGACCACTTCCACGTGTGTCCTCCCAGACAGACGCACGTCAGTCATCACTGGGTGTCTTGTCAGTCCTCTCTAACGACATTCTGACTCAGTAGAGAATATGTCTCGGTTCTGTGACTGAGCTGAGTGTTGAAGGTTAGCAGCGTCCCTGCGGGAAGCACCCCACTAGGTGCCAGCAGCGCCCCTCCCCTCATTCTGGCAAACCCCAATGTCTAGATTTTTCCTGGTTGTTTCTGTTTTTTCTTTGTTGGCAAGAAGAGATGGCTAGCTGGATTTGGCCCACTGGTTTTACTTTGCCAAATTCTGGTGTGGACAGGTTGATTTATGTTTTGGCTTGGAGGCTTGGGGGAATTTGGTTTAGGGGGGTGTTTGGTATTTTTGGTTTGTTTGTTTTTATTTGATTGTTTTAATTTTTTTGAGTCTCCTTACATATCCCTGGTTGTCCTGGAACTATGTAGACCAGGCTGGCCTTAAAGCCATGGATAATTCTACCCCTGAGTGCTGGGGTTAAAGGTGTGCACTGCCATGCCTGGCTTAGACAGCTCTTTGTAGAAAGTTGGGTAAGACACAAAGTAGAATAATGAGGAAGTCGCTGAATGCAGATGAGAAGCGTGAATGTGCTTCTCTGTATTTCAAGATGGGAAGTTCTAGAGCGTGGGTTTGTTGTTTTCTGTAAAGAAAAGATCTTGTGAAAAAGGAGAGGCTATGGTTCAAGAGAGACTGTTGACTGTAGCAACAAGCTCCTAAGAAACAGAAGCAGATATGTTAATGCTGTTAAAAGTCTATGGAGAGCTGTGGATGTACCTCAGTGTACAGAGCTGTCCAGCATGTGGAAGACCCTGGGTTTGGTCCCCAGCACCAGTAACAACAACATCAGTACTAACAGATCCTTAAGAAACTGGTTTTGTCTTTTTTGATGTGACCCAGTGTTACTGGTGAGACTGACTTGTCTGCCCCGTGAGCTAGGCCTGGGGCAGAATTTTGGATGAGGATTTGCACTCACTTGCTCGATAGTTGGATTTGGGACTTCACTGGGTTGACTAGTGGGATTTAATTTGGGACTGCACTGGGTTGACTAGTGGAATTTAATTTGGGACTGCACTGGGTTGACTAGTGGGATTTAATTTGGGACTGCACTGGGTTGACTAGTGGAATTTAATTTGGGACTACACTGGGTTGACTAGTGGGATTTAATTTGGGACTGCACTGGGTTGACTAGTGGGATTTAATTTGGGACTGCATGGGTTGACGAGGTCTGAAGCAATAGATGCAGCTGCCTGCATTGTTCTGGCACCTGCTTTCCGGACCCTGATCCTGAGTCTGTGAACTAACTAGCTCGGCTGCAGAGAAGTCCTAGCCCAGTGACTCTGAGACTGGTTTTCACTTGGTGTGTTCCTGCCCATTTACATCGAGTGGCTCACTCTACCAGTTACTACAGCTGTGGGGTGGGGTGGGGGATGGGCGGGGGGCAGGGAGGTGGGGGGAGGATTGCCGACGTCTACCTCACCACCCTTCCGCCTCCCCCACTCGTAAGAATCTTGTTCTGCGTCTTTCGTGTACGCTTTAGTTCAGGATTTAAAAGGCATGTCTGTCCTTTCTCCCAGATAGGTTCAGACATCTTGGCGATCTCAGGCATATCTCCCCCCTTGGTAGTAGTTTTCCTGCTGAAGGAATGCGTTGCCTTTTGCAGACCCCAGTATAGAAGAAAGATCTTGAGCATGCGGGATCAGTACATACTTTCATGATGAGCACAGACAATAAGCCAGGCTGTGGATTCTTTCGCAGCTTTTTATGGGCATCAGAGGCTGCACAGAGGGACTTAGACTATGCAGGCAGTTCCGGTCTGCCATACCGTGTGAGCCGCCTCTGACACAAATCCTCCTTCCTCCCATGAACCTGTGCCAAAGGCATTTACTGGGGCTGGGGCTTATAGACCCAAGAAGGGGTCTCCTGCGCTTGGGTTCACTCCAGCAGTTAACTTTGGAAACTGGAAAATATGGTCCTTAAAGTAGCATTCTATTGAATGTCTGCTTTTTGAATGAGTTTTTTCCATACAAAAATACTTGTTCATAATAATTTCCCCTAATATTCGGAGGGAGGAATTCAAGTTAAAACAAAAATTAAATGGCAAGCTGGTAACATGTCTCAGTGGGTAAAGCATTTGCCATGAAGGTCAATGGTGTTCAATCTCTGAAACCCACATAAAGAAAGGTAGAGGAAAGAACTAACTCCACAGGTTGTCCTCTGACTTCCGCATGTGTACTGCAACACACGCATAACCACACACACACACACAACAACAACAACAACAATAATGATGATGTATCGGCACATATACCACCATCTATGGACTTGTTCTTACCAGATAGCGTTTACACACATGCAAGCATCCATGATCCTTGCTCCTTTGTCCTTAAAGCATGAAAGTGACCGCAGTCTGTACTCTGTTCTGAGCTCGTTCTCTTAGGGAGACTGTTTCCACATGAGGCCATGTGGGGCCTTCTCCATCTACCTGAACACTCTTCCTGGATCTCAAGGCCAGCTCTCTTCAGTCCTTCCTCAGACACCATCCGTTCCCTGAGCTACTCCATCCCACACCCCATTCTCCAGTCACTGCCTGTTCCCCTTTCCTGTTGATAGTGATCTTCCTGGCATTGATTCCTTTTTCTTAAATATGTTTATGTTGTGTGTGGGGGTTTTGTCTGCTTGTATGTCTGTGAACCACATGTATGCCAGAGGAGGCCAAAAGAGAGTGTCAAATCTCATGGGACTGGAGTTACAGATGGCTGTGAACCTCTATGTGGTTGCTGGGAATCAATCTCAGGTCCTCTGGAAGATCCGCCAGTGCTCTTAACCTTTGATCCATCTCTCTAGCCCTGATAGCACTGATTTTTTGACACACTTTTTTTTAATGTCTGTCTCCATTGTAATGGGAGCTCCATAATGAGGGGAAACCTTGAATGGATCATTTGATATATCCCAGCCTTCAGAGGCCAGCTTGGCACCTTCTAGAAATGGCCAGTAAACAATAAATTTTTGAATAAATGAATGATATTGGCTATGTGCACAGTCCTTTATAGTTTATATTTACGATTAGTAGTGGTCGTATGGGGGTCTATGCATAGGTTGCCATGTGCACGTACAGAGTCAGGACAACTTTCTTTTTTTGTTTTTGTTGTTGTATTTTTTTTTTCAATACAGGGTTTCTCTTTAGCTTTGGAGCCTGTCCTGGAACTCACTCTGTAGACCAGGCTGGCCTCGAACTCACAGAGATTCTCCTGCCTCTGCCTCCCAGTGCTAGGATTAAAGACATGAGCCACCACTGCCCGGCATCAGAGGACAACTTTCAAGACCTTCTTCTGGATGGTCCGGCTTGGCTTGACAGGCTTGCACAGCATGTAATTAGATAGTTTATGACTTGTGTTGGTCTGCCTTCATAGTTACCCCTAGTTGCATCTGCCAGCAGACCACAGGCGGCACATGCTGGAAGCGTTTCCATACTTGGTTTGGTGCAAAATATTCTCTGAAGGATTATGAGTCCCAGGAAACATTTCTGGTGGCCAAGGTCATAAAAGCAGTAATGGCCATGGTTTTGTCTTCGCCTCCTGCCCCTGGTGCTGATGGCCTCTTTCTGCTTAGCATCTCTGTTGCTGTGTTCAACCACTCTGACCAAAGGCCTTGGGGAGAAAAGGATTTGTGAGTTTATGGGAAGTCAAGGCAGGAATTTGAAGAGGAAACCAACAGAGGACTACTGCTGACTGGCTCGCTCCCTGGCTCGTGTTAATCTGCCTTTTTTCTACTGCCCAGGCCCACCTGCCTGGACTGGGCCCTCCATCATCAATTAGTCAACACAATGTCCCTCAGACATGCGCACAGGCCAGTCTGATGGAGGCAGTTCCTCAGCTGAGTTTCCCTTTTCCCGGGTGTGTGAGGTAGACAACCGAGATTAGCCAGCACAGAGTGATGTTTTATGTCAGAGGCCCTTTCTGTCAATCACAGGAAGAGACCTTTTTCTGTAGAGTTACGATTTGGAGCATATCACAGGCTTTTATTTCCATTTGGTTTGGAGGTTTGGGGTCCTTTTCTTCTGTTTTAAGACATTCTCACTAAGTAGTTCAGTCTGGTTTAAAATTCACAGTGGCTCCCAGGGGCTGGAATTGCAAGCGTCAATGGATGCTACATTCTTCTTTCAAATTTTACCTTTATTTTTTGCTGGGGTGGGGGTACCTGCAAGGTGGTCTTCATGGAGGCTGGCTAACTATTTGGGTGAATCAGTTCTCTTCCTCCACCATGTGAGTACCAAGGGTTAAACTCTGGTCCCCAGCCTTGGCTGCAAGTGCCTTTACCTAGGGAGCCCTCTCACCTGAGGCTCTCCTTTGTGCTGTAGGAATCTGGTATTTACTGTTACACTCCCTGTTTGGGGAGAAGAGATCAGGACTTCTATGCAGAGACGAAGCTGGTAGGGGCCAAGGCCCTGTATGCCGTGCTCATGCCCGATCTCCCCACACTCCTAGAAACTCTTCTTGTAGTGACTGCATTGTCTCAGGGTCTCATGTGGCATTTCCTGTGTACCCTAACCATTCTGCTCTGTTTCTTTAGGCTTTTCATTGAAAAACTTCCAAAACACCGAGACTACAAATCAGCTACCATTCCTGAGAAGAAAGATGCAGTCAAGGTGGGTCCCAGTTTTCACTGGGCTGCCTCTCCGGTGCAGGAAGGGGGTCGAGGAACGGCAGGGTGAGGGGCTTCAGATCATGTGTGGGAGGACACCGCTGTCACTCTTGATGTCTTCTTTCTCGCTTCCTTGGTTGATGTTAGAAGGTTGTGATTCTCAGGTTTGGTTTTGTATTTCAGAAATTAAAGAATGTTGCTTTCCCCAAAGCAGAAGAACTTAAGAGTGAACTCTTGAAAAGATACACCAAAGAATATGAGCAGTATAAAGAACAAAAGGTCAGTGTGACAGCGAAGAGACGGGAGGGCGGTGTGTGCTTCTCAGACAGTCCAGGCTGTGCTATGCCGTACCAAATGAGTCTGTGATTTTTAATGGGCTAGTTTGTTGGGGGGCGTGGGGCACAAAGACCAGTGACTCAAATTATAGCAGATTCAGTCTATGTGCCCACAAGGATGATTTGAGGACAGACACCTGTGACCTTTCTGTTGTATCTACAGCAAGAGACCTGACCATGGGGAACATCTCACTAGAGCATAGGTGTTTCAGATCTCAAGCGTGGGAAGTTTATCCCAAAAGCTTTCTATAGTCATTGATTTTCCCAGTGATGTGCAGGAGGTCTTGTTTAGAATGGTTTCAGCTTGTGGGGAAACAGTCAGGGCCCTCCAGTGCTCCCTTGTGGAACAGGTGCACACGCTGGAGAGATACCTACCTACGTGCTGCGCTGTGCTGCACACTGGCACCTGCCTACGTGCTGCGCTGTTCTGCACACTGGCACTGACAGTCAGCAGGGGGATTAATAGTGCTGAGCATACATTTCTAATGCACTCAAGAGGTTCGCTGCTTGATATTTATTAGTTTAAATGTCATTTTATTTAAATGATAATCACTAGAAATCCCACAAGTTGTCCTCTGACCTTCACATGTGAGCCTTGACACATGTCCCTTCTCTGGTAAACATATAAGTAAATGTAATTTTAAAAATTAAAAACAAAGCAAACAGCATGAATTCTTGCACACTGGTACTCAGCTCCCTTTGGGATCCACTCCAGGATCCCCTGCACAGGGAATGGTCCCATCCGCAATTAAAATGGGTCAAGATCATCCCCTACAGACATGCTCAGAGCCTTCTTCTCAGGGTGAGTCTAGAGTCTGTCAGCTGGGCAATGAACACTAACTTGAAGATAGGAACACTAGCTGTCCTTGAAAACAGGTATGTGGTGGCTTGACAGAGCAGGGTGGTGACTATACTCCATGACTTTAGAGGTACCTAGCGAAGCATGAATTCTGGATTGGGAGATCAGACCAGAGAAAAACTGTACTTTGGACGTCTCTATGCGGACTAGGCTTTCCTTCTGAGAGCTGAACTGTTAACCAAGACCCTTTCTTCCCCCCTAGAAAAAGGAAGAGGAGGAACTTGCCCGGAATATCGCCATCCAGCAAGAGTTGGAAAAAGAAAGACAGAGAGTTGCCCAGCAGAAGCAGAAGCAGTTAGAGCAGGAGCAGTTCCATGCCTTTGAGGAGATGATCCAGAAGCAGGAGCTGGAAAAAGAGCGGCTAAAAATTGTCCAAGAGTTCCGGAAGGTGGACCCTGGCCCAAGTGGGCCTCTGCTACCTGATCTGGAAAAGCCTTGTGTAGATGTGGTCCCCACCTCACCCACGCAGACTTCAGACTGTAACAGAACCGTGAGGCCAGCTAAGCCACCCGTGGTAGACAGGTCCCTGAAGCCTGGAGCACTAAGCATCATAGAAAATGGTGAGCCCCCCCCCCCCCAACCCCATGCCTCCCTCCATCTCTCTTGCTTCCATGACCCACTTACTTGGCTCAGTCAACAGAACCTCATGGGATGACTACTGTCTTCTTCTGTCCTGCCACCCTGTCTGTCTTGTTTGGTTTTGCTTTTGGTTTTGTTTTTTGAGACAGGGCTTCTTATGTAACCATTCTAGCTGTCCTGGAACTAGCTCTTGTAGATGAGGCTGGCCTCGAACTCACAGAGATCTGCCTGCCTCTGACTCCCTGAGTACTGAGATTAAAGGCGTGTGCCACCACTGCCCAGCTCCCTGTCTGTTTTGTAGAAATGGCCTTTAACTTAGGTTAATCTGAGTCAGTTTTCTAAAACCTTCCTGGAAGACAGACACTAACCTTCAAGGGTTTTGCAGAAATGTGAAGTGTTCAGTAAACTAGAGATCGTGCTTCCTGGAAGCCGTTCTAAAATGTTTGCTTCCACAGGCAACCCCACCACCAAATCTCCCTGCGCTGGGGCGCTCCTAATCTGTGAGGGGCTTAGCCAGTGCGAGTACTACACACTGCAGGGGGCTACTTGGTTCATTCAGAAAACCTTGTGACCCATCTTCCAGAAAGGAACTGTGTTGTGCTCTGAGGCTTCAGGCTTCCTCCCTGTTCCCTCTAAAGTCCTCTCTCCCTGTACCGCTCCTTCCTGCCTGTCCTGTGCTCTGAGAAACACTTCTAATGTCTTACCCACAGCTTTGTCAGCTTCCATCTAGCCCTAGAGTCTGCCTTCTGCTTTCCTTGAGGCTTCTCCAGCTCCTGTCCATTCAGTCAGATTGATTCAACCCCCATAAAACTCCCAGAGATCTTCTTATCCTCAATATTTTTGAAATCATTTCTGATAGTGCCATCATTTGTCAATATCTAGATTCTAACTTCCTGCAGGTGGGACCTTGAGTCTTTCTCATTTTGTGTCCCCTGTGGGCAGAGACACGCCTCTGAGGATGGACGGAGCGATCACCAGATGGGAAGGGAGACTGTGCCAGCCTTAACATCACCCACAGATGCAGGTGTCACACTGCAGTGGCTCTGTCCCCCTGACCAATCAGGTCTAGCAGACCCAAATGCTGATGTGGCACATCTGTTTACTGTGCTCTTAATATGATAACACACAGCTTCTCTGTGGAGCTCACAGAAGGATCCACTCTTGGCATCCTGGATAAGTTTTACAAGCTGCTTTTTCTCAGGGAGGTTGGCATTTCAACTTTGTTCTGGCGGGTGTTCCACGGCACACCACATGGTAGGACAACAACTAACACCCTTGAGGGTTAGTCCTCTGCTTCCACCTTGTTTGAAACAGGGCCTCTTTCTGTCCTCCGTGAGCTTCTGATGATCAGTCTGTTCCTGCCTCCCATCTTCCTGTAGGAGCCCTGGACCTGTAGATGTGGCTCCTGGTGATTTGAGCTCTGGTCCCCTGCCTGTGCATCAGTCTGTACCCATGGAGCCATCAGCTCCACCGTCCCTTTTTGCCGGTTTGTTTCCTGAGCCGCCCTGTGTAGCTGACTAGCACTAAACTTGGGATTCTCCCGCCACAATATTCCGAGTGCTGAGATGGCAATAGAGTGCCGTCATATCCTTAAAGTTCCATCAAAATCAGAACTAGATAAGGCAGTCAGCCTTTTCCAGCTGTGAGACTGTGCTGTCATGAATCAACACTTCCCAAAATACAGCGGAGAGGCAGGAGTGAGCCGGTACCGGTCAGAAGGGGGAAAAGAGCAGGAGAGGGGTAACTGGTGCCAGCTACATCCAGAATCATGTCATTATGGCTCTGCTGGGCTCAGTCAGCAGCTGTACTCACAGCTGGCCTCAAAGGATGCAGCGTTCCCAGGCTGAGGTACTCACTAGTTGCCCACAGCTTCAGAATCCCAAGACACTGCTCCATTCCTACTGCACTGCCCTAAAGGGGGAACCTCTGTGGAGCTCTGTCCTGGAGACAAGTCTCTGTGGGTGCCATCAGGCAGTCTGTAATGTCCTTTAAGTATGAGTGCGTCTCCTGTGGTCGCACAGCCCTTAGGGGAAATGGCCTACATGGCTGAGTGTTCCCCCAACAGGTTTTCTGCAGGTGGACGCTCTAGAATACTGGTAGTCTGGGCTCAGTCCGTGTGTGAAAAGGACAGACCAGGGAAGCCCCGTGTGAGTCTCAGTCTGAGAAAGAGACCTGAAGTCCCAGCACAAGTCCACAAGCCAGAGTCCAAAGCCTAGCACATCTGGAGTCTTAAGGACAGAGGAAGAGCATGCAAGTCCCAGGAGAGACACAGAAAAAATCTTTTCTCTGTTCCCTGCAGCTCCCGGCTGGCTGCATGTTGTCCACCTGTGTTGAGAGTGGACCTTGCCCACAGAGCCCAGGCACCCATATACATGGGGTGCCCACATACATGGTCACATCCACAAATAATGCTCCTCCGGTCAGGCTGACACTAAAGTATGTGGTCACAGCTCGCAGCCAGCTGTGGCCAGATGTTGGAGAAGAGACTTAAGTCCCTCTGTGATGCCCTTGAGGGGAGAGGGGCTCATGGAGGGAATCCCAATGACATGGCATTTCTCTTCCACGCTGTCAACTCTGACTTCTGCTCAGGGACCCCTGGCCTCAGACTTTCCCCCCTTGTCCATTTCAGTTCCCACCATCGAAGGCCTGCGCCACATTGTGGTGCCCCGCAATTTGTGCCCGGAATTTCTCCAGCTTGCCAGTGCCAATACTGCCAAAGGCATTGAAACTTGTGGAGTCCTCTGTGGAAAATTGGTAAGGAAGTGTAGCTCGCCTGAACTGGGGCTGTTCCTCTGTGGCCTCCTGTGACGCTCGGACTGGATATCTGGGGTCTGACTCTGCACCAATCCCTCCACAAAGCCTACACACATGCACACACTGTAATGCCAGTCAGTAGTGCTGTTTGGCGCCTCATGCCTGTAATCCTACCCCTGGGGAATCTGAGACAGGAGGCTTTCCATGAGTTTGAGGTCAGCTTGAACTACATAGTGAGGCCTGACCAGTATTGACCATGGAATAAGACTTTGTGACAAGAAAGAAGAAAAGGGAGGAAAGGAGGGAGGGAGGGAGGGAGGGAAGAAGGGAGGGAGGGAGGGAGGAAGGAAGGAAGAAAAAAGGAAGAAAGGAAAGCTGACTTAATTCTAAACCGAGCAGGAAGGCTTACGTATTTTCTCCTCTTCTGAGCTCCCCCTGAGCCGTGGGCCTGGGAATGGAAATCATCTAAGGTCTTCATATGTGTCCGTAAGGTGTGCGGTCCTTTGCAGAGATGGAAGGGACCCTGGGATAGAGAGTGCTGAGCAGTGTGTCCACTAGGAGATGTAGGAACTGTGAGGAAGGCGAGGCCGCTGAGGGAGAGCTTGAACCCATCCCTCACTTCTAAACAAGCCCCTGAGCGATGGGAAGCAACCCTCACCAAAGCCTTAATAAGGAGGCTGGGAGCAGGGGAGCTGCTTTAGGCAGCAGAGCGGTGGGGCTCTTTCCAGAGCACCCCAGGAACCCTGAGCAGACTTGTTGGCTGCTACAGAAAAGCCCCTACGACTATACCATTGGCCCAACCTGTGCTAGAGGGAGATCTGGGGTTTGGCTCAGTGCCTGTGGCTTTATTCTCTCTCTCTGCTGTGAAGCCCTGGGGTGAGGGATCAGGGAGGAAGAGTGAGCAGGAGCTCAGGGAGAAGAAGGGGCTTCTCTTTCCTCTGCTAAGAGGGAGTGGGTTGAGAGACCCGGGGAATTGTGACCTGTTGTTTTCTCCTTGCAGATGAGAAATGAATTCACAATCACACATGTTCTCATCCCCAGACAAAATGGTGGGCCCGATTATTGCCATACAGAGAATGAAGAAGAAATTTTCTTTATGCAGGATGATCTTGGACTCCTCACGCTTGGCTGGATCCATGTAAGAAAACTGGACTTCCCTGAGGGCGGGGACTCCTCTTCTGTTAGAGGCACACAGCCTGCTTCACTCCCTGAGCAGAGTCAGACTAGCCGAACAATCTGTCTCTCCGCACACATGGCTCCCAGTGCTCCAGTCAGTTGCCTCAGAAGACTGCTGAGAGCTTTTGCAGTTTCCTCAACTTTATCTTTTACTAAAAATAATTTTTTGATGTTCTGGGGTCTCTGGTGAAGGGAAGCTGGCCTAGAGACCATGTACCTAAAAGCTGTGTACGTGAAACTGTTTTAAATAGCCAGGGAGTGCATTCTGGTGGCTGCGGTCTCTATGACACAGCACTTGCCGTAGTATACAGTTTACGAGTGTTTGCACACGCCGTGCACACTTCTGATGACGTTCAAGGAAACACAGTTCCCTTCCTAAACTGTACATCTGGATGATTCTCTCGTTGTTTTTGTTTTTTTTTTTTTTTAAGGCCTCTGGCTCACTGACCAAGCTGCTTCCTAGGCGTATGAGAGGTGTAAGCCACAGTCCAATGGTTTATTTCTAGGTTCAGGGGGTCATACACACTTGTCCTCCGCACTAGAGCAGTGCCGACATGTGGGGTACTCTCCAGCCCTTCCATCCTTTTCGGTTCAATTACGTAAATACTCACTGGTTTGCCTAATGCCTAACGCAAGGATCCCAGCTGGCAGATAGAAACTCTCCTTGTTGTGCCTGGGGACACAGTTGAGGGTCACACAGGAAAGGAGCACCTGTTCCCATGAGGCAGAATGCATTATATTCCTCAGAAGGTGCACACAGGGCACTGCGGGTTTCAGAGCAAGTGGGGGCCACACTCGAGGTGACTTACAATGAGATTCCAAGGGGGAGGGGTCAGCATTGGATAGGTACACTGTGCTCCTGCATCAGTGAGCGGTCCTGTCGGCTGGAATTTGTGGGTTTTCGTCAGAAAAAGATGTAAGGGCAAAAGGGGGGAGTGATCTGGGAGGCTTTCGTACTAAACTGGCCCGGGCAGCCTTGAAAGTGGAGAGAGCAGACAGTAAGAAAAGCTATTTGCTGACAGCCTGAAGGGCTACTAAGGGAGCAGAAAATGCGTTGGGCGGTAAAAGGAGACAGAGGAATGTGTAAAGAAAACACAGAAGCCACAGAGCAGGGACATCAGAAGAAGAGATTCAGGATGCACTGGGCTCTAGCAGCACCCTGTCAGGAACCTGCTGCACCCTTCCCACTTCCTGTCTCCAACAGTGACCCCCCCTCCCACTTGCTCCCATCATCCTGTCCTACCTTTCTTTAGAGTTCACCTCCTAAGTCCGACTCCTGAGTACTTCAGCTCCGCTTGGGTCTAACCTTGAACTGCAGTTGGAAGATCTGGCTTCCTCTGCTTAATCCCCTTCAAGATTTATCCACACTCTAGCGTGCAGCTGTCTGGGGTGTGTGTGTTTACGTCTGGTGAGCAGTGGAGGAGGGGGGAAAGGCAGGCGGGGCAGTCAGGACAGTAATGGATCAGAAGTGCACAAGGGATTCGTATTTGCACAGGGAGAAAGCACACGGCCCTCAGAGTCAGGGTTGAGGTCAGAGAGCTGAAGACATGCAGAGGGTTGAGCTTCTGTGTGAAGAAGTCATAGACACCCTTGTCAGGCAGCCTTTGCATTGGTGAGGGTGGAGTGAGGATCTACTGGCGGGGTCGGGGGAGGCAGAGGAGGTTAGAGCTGGAGGAGGTTGGTGGCTAAGAGCTCCTGCTGCTCTTCTAGAGCATCTGAGTTTGGTCTCCAGAACTCCTCCGGGCAGCTTACAGTCTCCTCTGACTCCAGCACCAAGGGATCTGACACCAACTTCTGGCCTACTCAGGACACCTGCACACATGTGGCCTATAGCCACACAGACAGGTGTACACATGAACATAAGTAAAACATTTTTTAAGTAAATATTTTTAAAAAATGAAAAAGGAGAGGGCGGACTCCAAATAGTTACTGCTTAGACTCCAGGCAGAACTAGGCATGCATGGGTGACGGCTCCCAGTCTAGTAAGGGCCCAGCTAGGAACACATGGAGAGAAGTTTGGCTTCTGTTACCTCTACGATATTTCTGCATCATTTCTTCATAATTTGGGATTGAAAACAACAAGAAAGGACTTTCCAGATGGTTCAGTATGTAAAAGGATTTTGCTGCCCAATCTTAGCTGAGTTCAGTTTCTTTGGCCCACTTGGGGGAAGGAGAAAACTGACTCCCACAAGTTGCCCTCTGACCTGCACACACACATACACACACCATGGGCAGGTAGGCACACATTCTCGGGGTTGCACACGCATATATAAGTGTAAGTTTTAGAAAATGAGAACAGCAGGCTATGGGTCTTCTCAGATCTTTACATCACAAGAGGAAAATACACAAGCCAGTTTCGCTCCTCAGAGCTCCATCTATTTCCCGTCCCCTGACTTGGCCTCAGACAGCCCTTTGCTCAGCTTCTTCCTCTTGTTTCTCAGAGCCAATTGTATGCCTTGAAGACAAGGCATACAACTGACAATTCATACAAACCTGTATATGATGTGTGTACATTGTAAACGTTGAGTTGGCTATGGTCTGTGAATGAGAAAAACACTTAAACATCTGTGCTCACACTGGGCCTGGTAGCTCACATCTGTGTCACAGGACTTGGGAGGCTGAGGCAGGAGGTATATTTGAGACCTACCAGGGTTACATAGTGAGTTCCAGAGTAGTCTGACCTATAGAGTTCAACACTATATCTAAATAAATAATGTGTCTTTGCCATTTTCAAATATACAGCACACGGTCTTGAACTCCACAGGCCTTTCAAGGACAGGTAGAGTTTCCACACACTGGTGTTAGACTCGGCTTGTTTAGACAGTGCTGGGAGGGAACTCACTGTGTGGGTCTTGTGTGTTCCTCATGGCTGCAGAGAAGGGGTTGGGTCCCGCTGTTGGGAGCGCCTAGGACCTGCCTTCCTAAGTGGGTCAACCATGGCAGCTGGGCCACTGGAAATTCTCTGACCTGTTTCATCTTTTCAGACTCACCCAACCCAGACGGCCTTCCTGTCCAGTGTGGATCTGCATACCCACTGCTCCTATCAAATGATGTTGCCAGAGTCTATAGCAATCGTCTGCTCCCCCAAGTTCCAGGAGTGAGTACCACCGATGCGGTTCTGGGTTCTGGGTCTTAGAAGGAAAAGAAGTTCTCTATTATTGAAACCAACCGTGTGTGTGTGTGTGTGTGTGTGTGTGTGTGTTTGTTTACATGTGTACATGAGCTTAGGAGGGTGCCTGTGCATAAGTGTTCACATATGTGTGGAGACCAGAGGTTGACATGGGATATCTTTCTCTGTTGCTTTTCTATCTCATTGTTTTTGACACGAGGTCTCTGGCTGAACCTGGAGATCACTGGTTAGTCTGGAGAGCACCACTCTCTGTCTCCTAGGTTGGGATTTTAGACGTATACCATCACATCAGGCTCTTTGTAGATGCTGGGGATACAATCTCGGGTTCTCTTGTTTCTATGTCAAGCATTTTACCAACTGAGCCATCCTCCCGGCCCCTAGACCTTTTAAAAACCAAAATTCATAAATGGCATTCACTCGCTGCTCTAAAAGGCTTCCTTCAAGCTCCATATTCTGATAAACACAACCTGCTCTTTCAAAGATATATTATTAATGTTGGTTTTCTAAGAAAAACTGAAATCTGAACTATTTGACTTAAAGTGATAGGATATCAGAGCCTGAGGTTAAAGGTTAAAAAATTCCCACATTGGACCCTATGTCATCTGCCAGTGTTAATTCTTCTCATTCCAAATGTCCCCTTGACTCTGAATTCTCCAGCAGAACTAATAATGGAGACAGTGATGAACTTGCCTTTTTGTCTTTCACTGTTTTCAAGTTTCACTTTTGTGCCCCTGGTGTTGTCCCCCAGGGCTCTGAGCCTCTGTTCCTGCCATTCCCCCTCTGTTCCTCAGACTGAAGAATCTCAGTTGACCTAAGAATCTGCATTTCCGTGTTTAGTCCTACTTAAATCTGTTGTTGACTTGCTCAAAGGAATTTCTCACTTTCAGTTTTAATTTCCAACTAGAAAATTTTTCTTTGGAGGCTGGAAAGATGGCTCATCAGGTTAGAGCACTTGCTGCTTGTGCAGAGGACCTGGGTTCAATCCCCAGCGCCCAAATGGTGGTTCACAGTCACCTGTACCTCCAAGGCTCTTCTGACCTCACTGACCTCTTCTGACCTCACTGTGTACCAGTCACGTAGGCCAAGCACTCATAAAATAGAGTAATTAAGTCTAAAAAAATTCCTATTTGATTCCTATTTATAATCAGCAGATAATTTATTCTTTAACTGTGACCCATTCCCCAGAGAAGAGAGCTATAAGTCAGTACACTGTGAAAGCTGTCTAAAATTCCTCTGCCCTGTGAGTCAGTGTGAGAGCCTGGAATGTGTGAGCATGAACCAGGGCACAGGGGGGACAGGTGAAGACGGGGGAGTGTTGGGAGTGGGGGAAGCCTCTGGAGCGATGCCTCGACTCTGAGTCTGCCCTTTCTTATTTCAGAACTGGATTCTTTAAGTTAACTGATTATGGCCTCCAAGAGATTTCCACCTGCCGGCAGAAAGGCTTTCACCCTCACGGCAGAGACCCCCCTCTGTTCTGCGTACGTATCTATCATACCCATGTATAAGTCGGCCAGCACATAAAACCTGGGAGGTGCATGGTCCTTCTAACCCACCTGAGCTCAGCCCCGGCACTCACCTTCCCAGAGTTCCACAGTCAGCGATGGAACTGTGCACTTTGGAGATAGGTTTGGATCTCAGCCCTGTCACCCTGTTACTTCCTGTCTGTGAGGCTCTGACCCTCCCTGGGCCTTTCATCTGATATGTGGGACAATAATAATACTTTATTAATAATCGTACTTTACAGGGTCCTGGAGAGGATGAAATAAGTGGGAGGAGGGTGTAGAATGTGTGCAGCATGTGGGAGGCTCTGGGCCCAATCCCAGTATCAGTGGAAAAGAAGTAATAACAGAAAATACCTAATGCATTCTCTGCTTACTAAATGTTACCTTGTTCCGTGTCAGTCACTAAGTTTCAGTCAGCAGTCTGAATGCAAAGGGAAAAGCCGTGCAAGCTAGGAAAATTAAACTTATTTCATTCTGGAATTTTGCCCAAAACTAGGGTTCTCACTGCCCTAGGAAGTGGTTTCTTTGCCCAGCTTGTGTCCATGACAACAGGTTTAGCTGCTCAGATCTCCGTGCTTCAAATCAGCTCATATCAATGAGATTCTGGTGCTTGCTTCACACCAGGGGGGGGGGGGTGAAGGGGGTAGTGGCTGGGGTGGGAGGTATCCAGAGAAAAGCAAGCAACACAGAGGAAGGAACCAGAGTCCTGTGCCATAAAGCATGGAAGAGCAGGGAATGTGCCAAAGAGAACCCCAAAAGGCTAGGATCATGGGGGTCCATGAGTTGATTTTGCATGATAAGACAGTTATAACATACATAACACACACACACAGACACACATGTATGTATATGTCTGTGTTAGTGTATTTCATACTTTTCCAAGCACAAAAATTTAAGCTTCATAGAATAATAGCTTCTAAAAATGTATATGTATTATTGATTTATCACTTTTATGTTTATTTTTTAATTGAACTTTATTTTCTCTCTTTTTAAATTTATTAAATATGTATTCAGCATCTGCCTGCATGTATCCCTGATCTCATCATAGATGGCTGTGAGCCTCCATGTGGTTGCTGGGAATTGAACTCAGGACCTCTAGAAGAACAGTCAGTGCTCTTAACTTCTGAGCCATCTCTCAGCCCCTGAACTTTATTTTCAGTCTTGTGGATCAAACTCAGATAATAGGTTTCAGTTGAAAGTGAGGAAGAAAATAAATATTAAGAAAATAAATAACTAGAACCAGGAATGCTGGCACACACCTTTAATCCCAGCATGCCGGGAGGCAGAAACAAGGGAATCTCTGTAGGTTTGCGGCCAGCCTGATCTACACAATGTGTTCTAAGCAAGCCAGGGCCACATAGACAGACTCTTTCTCAAAAAGTACATTGGTCTATCTTGAGATATAATAATGTTTAGATGTGAGAATATTAAAGATTGTACCATCAAATAGGCCTGGGACACCAGTGTCCAGGTCTAGTTCTAAAGATTCTTCCTGGAGTTGGTCATGGTACCACACACCTGTCATGCCCATACTCCGGAGGCTGCCATGGGAGGATGGCCAGTTCGAGGCCAGCCTGAGCTGCATAGCCGGACCCTGTCGACTCCAATCAGTCAATAAACAAGCAAGCCTTTTTATGCCAGAGTGAGAACCTGCCCCCTACTTGTGGTGGTAGGTGAATTTTATTATCTGAAAAATATAATTCCCCCCCCCCCAAACACTGCAACAACCCTACTAATTCTTCTGAGTAAAGGAATATTTAACAAGTGACTCCAGAAAATGTATGGGAAGATGCTGATTCAGACTGTGAGTGGAGGGGTGATTCCCAGGTTCGTTACTGTAATTGCCACTGACATCATGGTCTGGCTTCCAGACTAGGAATCACTGACCTTGAGCCGGCATTTGAGTTATTTATTTACTTACTTATTTTTCAGAATTTCACAAGTGCTGCATCTACATCATGCTAACTCCTTTCTCCCTCTAGTTTCTTCTCCCTCCCAAATTCATGATTTCTTCTTTATTACACACACACACACACACATCCTCACATATACACAAACACACATAGTCACACATACACACATACACACACACACACACACATCCTCACACATACACAAACACACATAGTCACACATACACACATACACACACACACACACACACACACACACACACACACACACACGACAATGTATGTAGGAGCTCAACCCTTAAGGAAACTAAGTCTCCCTCTCAGCAAAAAATAATCTGTAGCTTTCCTCTAGTCATGGAGCTGTGTGAAATTTCCCCCATCCATGTTGGCAGGGCAAACTGATGTCAAATATTTTGTCTTGTTCATACAACCATATTGTTATTTCCTGGAATTATTTTCCCTGTCGAGTCTTGGGTCACTGTCTAGCAGCAGGCATCCTGGGCCTCCGGCCCACACACTCTGCTCCCCTCTTCTGAGATTTCCCCTCAGCCTTGGGTTTCCTGGTTGCATTGCAGATTTGTCACTTTCTGGCTTGTATCTGGATCAGTTGTAACTCTCTAATAGTCTCCATCTGTTGCAAAAGGAAGCTTTAGTGCTGAAAGGTGAGAGCTACATGTACACTCAGAAACTTGGTTCACGGAAATGGCGGTAGCGGGTTCTTCTCTCGGGTCTGTGACTTATCCAGCCCCGGCTAGGTTCACAGTCTGAAGTACGAATTCCCTCCCACTGATTAGACAACTGTTGGTCACCCTAAGGACAAACAGCCACTGATGCACCACTGTGGCTGTCTTACCTCTGGTCATTATTGTGAGTCGCAGCCTTTACAGCTGGGTAGGACATCCAGTTGCCCCTCTTCCTGTGCAGCTTGCATAGTGCCTTTCAGTACCGTGAGAGCCAGTCCTCAGCGAAGGGGTTTTCCAGGTCAGCCCCCGCTGACTCCTCCAAGTACTGTGTCCAAGAGTGCTGTCTTCAGCAATAGTGGCTTCCCTTTGAGTTCTGGGTCACCAAGGTCAATGACAATAGCTCATGTATTCCTCCAGTGAACAACTAACAGTCTATATTGGGGGGGATAGGGCCTCAGTAGCCTAGTGCTCACCCTGTAACCAGGCAGCCTCAGACTCAGAGATTGACTTGCCTTCTGCCTCCCAAGTGCTTGAATGAAGCGTGTATGCCACATACTTAGCATATTGTATGTATTTTTAAAATAAATTTATAAAATAATCGGTTCCCCTAGGTTTTCAGGCAACCTTAGTGTAACGTAATTCCTTCTTCCTTCTCTCCCTGTATTATCCTTCCTCCCCCTCCCCAGGTAAATCCCCCCCATTATTTTCTTAAACTCTTTTGTAGCTCTTGCCTCCTCCTGCTCTCCTCTCTAGAGCTTCTTGTCCACCCTCCCTGCCATGATCCCTTTCCGCTTTCCTGGCTTCTTCTGACATGTTAGGGTATACGCTCAGATGTTCAGAGCTAGATCCATGAATAAGAGAGAGTTTTGGCGTTTGTCTTTCTGGCTCTGGGTTACTGCTTGAGCAGGCATTTTAAATGAGTGGTTTAGGGCTGGGGATGGAGCTCAGGTGGTGGAGCGCTTCTTCACAAGCCTCAGACCTGGGTCCAGTCCGCAGTACTAATGAACCGAGCAGAGGATTTATGCCTGTAATATCAACTCTGAGGCAGCCACGGGAGGATCGAGGACATCCTAGGCTACCTAGGGAGTTTGAAGCCATTCATTCAACCCAGGCTCAAATGAAACAGAAATGTTTGTGTTTTTTAACGACTATAAAGGACTTTCCACACATTTATTGTTCCTCCTTTTCCTGTTTCAGGACTGCAGTCACGTCACTGTCAAGGACAGGATTGTGACCATCACGGACCTTCGATAAATCTCAGTCACCATCCAGGAAGATGGCTCCTTGGATAAAGACACTTGCCTCCAAACCCAGCAGCCCAAGTTCATTTCCTTGGACTTCACACATGATGGAAGGAGAGCAACTTCCCCCAAGTTGTCCTTTGACCTCAATTGTGCACTGTGGTATGTGCGCACGCACACACACACACATACATACACACATACACACACACACTAAATAAATAGATGGAATTTACAAAGTCTTACCCTCCTCCTGAGCTACATGCCCTGATCAGTTTACTATTCTCACCCCCATGGAATTAAACTTTTAAGACAGAATAGGAAAGGGTCAACACCAATGGGAAACTGTTGGTCTTTTTTTAATTTATTATTTGAAAATAAGTCATTTTATTTTTTAAAGCAAATCTGAAAATGAGCAAATCACACCAAACAACTAACTCAAAAATTAGGATGCGAGAGAAAGTACCTCTCTGCCCTCTTTAGACCCGAGCACTGGCCTTTGGGCCCTGTTGCGACTTACCTTCCAACTGGTTCATCTCTACCTTTGGACTAAATAAGGGCATCTCTGCAAAACTGTGAAAGCCATTTTGAAGGATTTGGCTTTTTCTTGTTTGTGGCATTACTGAGGGAGCTTATCACTCTGGTGGGAAGTGCATAAGGAGCTCACAGCCCCCCATAAGTTGATTTTGTTTTTAAAAAAGAAGTCTATTATTTAATTTAAAAGGTTAGGATGTTATTTTCTTCTGTAATAAAACAGTTCACTGTGTTGTGCTCTAGAGTGATCTGTCTGATCATGGGCAGCATGTAAACATTTTAAATGGAATGTCTGATTGCGGCCAAATGGGATGGTGTGTCCCGCAGTGAACTGTGTTGCCATTCACTTGCAATCAGTCAGTGTGGCCGGCCTGCCCAGTCTCCCTCCACGATCAGGAAGTCATCTCTTGTTCTGGTGTTGCCTCAAGTGGGTCTTCCCACTTTCTCCTCAAGCCTCAGCCAAGGCACTGAGCCTTACAGAGTCCCAGCCAACGGTGCAGTTGTCCAGTGCGCACCCTGCTAAGTCCACCATGCTGGCTTTGTCTTCTTCAGAAATGTCTAGGATGGTGTGTGAGACCGTAGGTGACACCTCACTTTTCTTCATGAACTGAGCTGGTGCTTAAAGGTCGCCTAGAAATCTGTGACATCAACATGAGAGAAGAGCAAATATGTTGGATAGTAAAGTTAATTTTTTAACGTGTATATGTGTGTGTGGTGTGTGTGTGCGCCCCAGGTGCATACAGGTGTCTGCAAAGCCAAAACGGGCCCTTGGCTTCTCTAGAACTGGAGTTACAGGCAGTCGTGAGCAGCCATGAAGGGTGCTGGGAAGAGAACCCAGACCCTCTGTAGAAGCAGAAAGTGCTTTTAACTGCTGAGCCATCTCTCTAGCCCTCAAATGAAACTCTCGACCATACCACAATGCTGCCTTCCCAAAATACACAGGAACATGTGCCTTTAGAAAAGGATGGATTCATATCAAGGGGTAGAATTATGAGATGGGTGTCTTTATTTTTTCCCACTAGCCTTTTTAAATGTTTCCCAACTAGAAAGAGTATATTCTGCTTCTAAATGGAAAAAAGAATGATACCTCATGTTTTCCAGAAACCAGAACTCCACTGCCCCTTAATGTGGGAACCCAGCCAAGACCTGCTCCCTGAACAGCCTCAGTGAGGGGGCCTTGGTAACACTCAGGCCAAGCAGCAGCGATGTCATATATGGAAACCTTCCATGAGGCTGACCTCACTGCTGGAACCTATTCAACATAAACTTTGCCTTCAAGAGCAAGCAGAGATCTTTGGTCAGAGCCTGGTGGAGGGAGAGCTAACCGAAAGCTCCTAAGGAGGGAGTCACTGGTGTTATGCCTGAAGTCCTGACCGTGCTTCTGGGCTCAGTCCCCCGAGGAGGACTGCTTTTCATGTCACCTTCCTCCTGAGAGCAGCTGCTGCAAGGGCCTACCATTGTTTCTAACTTCCGAGCTTGGCAAGAACACAGGCTGTTGCTTAAATGGAACATTACAATGGTTACTGGTGGGTGACGGAAGTGCAACCCTCTCCTACACAAAAGGAAGCGAGGCCATTCTTAGCTACTCCTCTGCCTGTTCCCTGCCATGAGCTTTGCCGCCCCCAGCAGTCCTCTGTTCACCTCATTTTGCCTTTAAAAAAGTTAATGATTCTGGGTGTGGTGACACATGCCTGTAATCCCAGCACTGTGGAGGCTGAGGCAGGAGGCTTAGCCTGAACCGCACAGTGAAACCTTTGTAAGACTATTAATGGTGTGGCGCCAGAGCAAAGCCTCCTCCCACCATGCTGTCCGTGTTGAGCGTTGGTCATGCTGCAGCTTGAACAGCCTTAGTCCCTGTTGCACACTAGACCTCTGTGTCCAGAGCTTCTCTGACCAGTCAAGTGCTTCTACCCCTTTCCTGAGACTTGGGGGCTTAGAATTGTCTTGAGTTGATTCATGGTAAACCCAGGATATGGTCATGCAAGTGCCTTCATTCCCAGTGGCATCGTGGCTTTGAAAGCATACCATCTCTAATAACTGTGGCACTTGAAGCTTTAGCTGGCCCACAAAGAGACCACAGAAAAAAGTTAAAATTCTTTCCATTGCGCTGACAGAAAATCCAACTGATGACCAGACATAGCTGGATCCAGTGTCCACTGTGACCACGATTCCCTTGGTTCAGGGTTATATTAAGTTATTCTATTAAAGTAATATAGACAGCTGTAATTTAATAGCCTATATATTATCCTGATAAATCTAGCTGAAAATGAACTTCTGGGTTTCAACACAACTTCTAATTGAGTTGTTGGGTCATAGCTTTGGCCACAACTCATCATGGGACCAAACACTGTGGCCAGAAGGATGGAAAGTTTTGATTGGTCAGGCCTGCACTGAAAGCCTATAATCCATCTGAGCTGCATGGTCTGAGATCAGGGAGCATTCTTTTTCAAAGAATGTCATGGCAGCCTTAGAAGCAGAAATGGATGCTGAACAAGAGGAGGCAGCAGATATCTACAATAGATGCCAAGGCTGAGAATCTAAGTCTGCCAATGGCAGTGGTCCCAATAGTGTGAACTGAGTAGATTAAATGGTAACACTAAGCACTGTGGGGCTTGGGGAGTAGCTGCTGGACCGGGGAGTAGCTGCTGGACAGGGGAGTACTGACTCACTCCCCAAAACCTGAGTCTTATGTCCAGACCATGACTCACTCTAGAGTGCCTACTGTGTGAGGAGCACTGTTTAAAACATGAAAAAAATGTTGTACCCTCTGACCTCCAGAAGCAGATGGATTAAGGAGCCATACTCCTGTGATAGGACAAGACTGGTTTCCTCATGATTGGCAGTGACCGGGAGACCCTAAAGTGAGAAGTATATATATAATATGTATAATAACTGTAATTATTATATTCCGCTTTCCACTTATTCAGCAAATATTTAGCACACACCCGCTAAACCCCAGGGCCCACAGGATTTGATAGAGGCAGGCTCTGGAGAGCTTCCAGGGAAGATTCCACACAGACCTGGGCTATATCAATCATTGCAAAGAATTTGGTTAAATATGGAGGGAAAGAGATGGAGAAATCAAGCGCACAGACAAGTGGATTCATTAATTATATTTTTTAAAGCATAACAAACCAGAGCTGGAGAGATGGCTCAGTGCTTGAGACCACTGGCTACTCCTGCAGAGGGCCCTGGTTTGGTTCCCAGCACCAACGTGGAAGCTTATAACCAGTAACTGCTGATCCTGGGAACCCAGCACCCGCTCCTAGCCTCTGCAGACACCAACTACATGCAAACAAGCAAACACTCTACACAAATTTAAGTGGAAGCCACAACCACCTTTCTACAATGGCTGAGGTATGTCATAAACATCTGTATAATGAACTCAGCTCCCGGTGGTAGACAGGGCTGTCTTCCACTATTATGACATCTCACCAGAGCACATAGAGAAGAATAGTTCTGCTGGCGCCTGGACGGGCCCTGTAGCTTCCAGCCGAGACACCTGGATTCTGTGACTGGCTTAATGTAGAGGTAAACTCTGTGGTGCCTGGGAGCTCTGAATTTTCTTTTTGGGGTGGTGTAGTAGCGGAGTCACCATATTGACGATAATGGTGTTGATTTCTTACAGGGGTCTCAGTGTCCCAGGTTGGCCTCATTAACTGTGCAGTCAAGGGTGGACTTTAACCTGTCCTTCTGCCTCCACCTCCTTGGTTCTGGGTTTACAGATGCATACCACCATGCCCCATATTTACTCTATGTTGTCTTTAGATTCACATGGGTGTGTGTGTGTGTGTGTGTGTGTGTATGGATTTATGCACACCACATGTGAGGCAGCAGGGTGTGGGCTTGTGTATGCACACATACCCTCTGGGAGGGCACGTATGCAGTAGCCTGGAGGAAGGGATGGGTTGGTGAGCTTCAGAGAAAGAATGAGAAAGCCAGAGCACCAAAGTGATGCTCAAGGTTTGGACAGTATCTGGGGAAAACACTGAGAGAGAAGGAAAAAGAAAAGTCAGACAGAAGCGGCCAGGCACTGCGGACCTGCAGCCTGGTGGACGTTCTGCAGACAGCTGCTTCACTGGAGGGTTTTTAAGTCAGTGCAAAATGCACCACAAACCCACTTTTGGGCAAGTCTCCCTTTATTTGTTTCTCACAGTTTCTTCATTTGACTTGTTTTATTATTACTGGTTTTTTTTTGGTTTTTTTTTTTTGTTTTTGTTTTTTTTTTTTTTTTTGGAGACAGGGTTTCTCTGTATAACAGCCCTAGCTGTCTTAGAACTAGCTCTGAAGGCCAGGCTGGTCTCGAACTCACAAAGATACATCTGCCTCTGCATCCCAAGTGCTGGGTAATCCAAGTGTAAGAAAAGTAGGACTCTGGACAGGAGATATGACTCAATATTCTTACAGAGGCCCAAAATTCACTTCCCAGTACCCGAATCACAAATCACAACCCTGTAAGTCCAGCTCCAGAGGATCTGGTGTCCATTTCCGGTCTCCTTGGGTGCCTGTGCTTATGTACAGGCGCGTGTGTGCGTGTGTGTGCGTGTACGTGTGTGTGCGTATGTTTAAAATTTTTAACTAAAATTAAACAAAAATCAGAACTCCTTAGATATGTTCAAAAATGTATGGTTTGGATGAAAATATTCGCCCATAGTCTTGGACATTTGAATACTTGGTCCCCGTTGGTGGCACCGTTTGGGAAAGTCATGGACCGTGTAGAGGGTGGAGCCTTGTTGGAGGAAGTATATCATCTGAGGCAGCTTTGGGTGTTCTTAGTCTTTCCCAGCTTCCTGTTTGCTCTCTGCTTGGTGCCTGTGGTTGAGGCTGAGAGCTCTCCTGCCGTGACAAGCCCAAATAACCCCTTCATTCTCTGTTACTTTAGTCATGATATTCGGTTACAGTAACAGAAAAGTAACTAAGACGAAAATGACTCGAAATCATTTGCATTATGTTGTGAGAATCTCATCCTTGCCGTATCACAAGTAACCACTCCAAAAGTTCTTGGCAAATACCAGGCTCTCTCAACACCAGGAGAGAAATCGCACTCAGTTTCAAAGGCAATATTTGGTGCTAGACTAAACCAAGACAGGTGGACTCATGGTTTCCGTAGAGACTTCATCTCCCTTGGCTTCAAAGTCTTCAACTCTTTTTTTTTAAGTCAGTAATTCCGAGAAATGATTACACAGGGGTCAGCAAGATGGCTCAGTGAGCAAAGGAGCTTTGTGCAGCAAGCCCGTGACCTGAGTTCAATTGAACCCACGGAAAGAGAATGAACCCGAAGATGTCTTGTGATCTCCACCTGTGCACTACAGCACACGAACCTGTCCATGTGCATCATACACACACATTCATATGTGTAGTGAGAGCTGCAGGCAGGCCTGCTTTTTGTCCTGCCCGGCTCCCGCATGGCTAGCTTAGCCCCAGAAATAACAACACACAAATTGTATTCATTTAAACTCTGCCTGACCCATTATATCTAGCCTCTTCTTGGCTAACACTCATAACTTGCTTAACCCATTTCTAATAATCTATGTAGCACCACAAGGTGGTGGCTTACCAGGAAGGATTCTAGCCTATGTCCATCTTGGGTCAGAACTTCATCGCGGCTGCCTCACTGCCTTCTACCCAGCATCCTGTTCTGTCTACTCTGCCTATCTAAGCTGCTGTCCTATCAAAGGCCAAGGCAGTTTCTTTATTA